TGTATATATATATATATATATATATATATATATATACACAGTATATAAAGGCATTTTAAACGCTTCCCACACTTGCAATATTCTAAACAATGTTTTTAAACTCTAAACGCTGTAAAAGAGCACAGAATGTGATGATTTCAGCTCTCTTCCTCCACTGCTCTCAGCCACCTGCAAGCGTTCTTGGCCACGCCCACTTCTCCGCTCTGCACGGAGAACAGCTGATCAGCTGCAGCAGGAAGTTTATCCTGCAGCACTGTGGGCTGCACAAAGATGCAGGAGGTGCTAAATAATTTATAGTTTATTTTAAATAAAAATTTCATGCCAATCGTGCAGCTCATCCATCAATCAGCCAATTGTGTGTCATGTCCAATCTTATTTTGAAAAACTGCGATAGAACGAGTCCATGATAAACGAACCGCAAATTAGCGAGGGACTACTGTATAATGTATGCGTAACTTATCCATAAATTGTTCCTACAGACACATAACTTTTACAAGCGTATGTGAGCGTTTTTGTGTCTCTTCTCACGTAAGTACAGGTACATGACAGGTAAGCTGTGCACAAGTTCACACGCTTTACATGTAAGTTACTCATAAATGAATACATCCGAAATCAACTGGGTAATTGTGTAGTGTCCAAGTAACTTGTTTGAGCAACTTCTAACATGTTTTTAACTTGTATCAGTTCTCCATGTGTTATAATATCTGTCTTAAAGGGTCAATGTTCCAGCTGTGGGAGAGGCTGTGGAGGAGAGCCACAAACACAGTAGCATATGCTTGTATAATTAATGTATATGCTTGGGGACAAGTTATGGATAAGTTACTTATAGGTTATATGTCCGTTCAACTCGTTAGCAATATGGTATTTCAAGTTCATGTTTCTTTATTGTCATTCACATCACATGTGGTACATGAGGTGGAATGAAATTATGTAGTCAAGGTCCCAGTTGCATCCAAAAATATCAAAAATATAAAGTATAAAAAGAAGCCGTATATAAGGATCTAATATATAGACAAAGATATACACTAAACGAACGCTAAACAGTACACTAAAATATCTAAGATATATGCTAAACGCTATAATGTCAAGTAATACGATGTATTAAACAGCAGTTTGAACATGAGTCTGTAGTGAGTAGATGGGTATGAATGAATACAGCATCATGATAAAATCAGCAGCATGAGATCATCAGCAAGAATAATCAGCATCACAGATAAGTCACATACCACTAGTTAAAGTGGTATTACAGTGATTAACCTGATTAGAGATTCATGAGTCTTAACAGCTTCAGGGTAGAAGCTGTTCCTCAGTCTAGTGGTTCTACACTTTATGCTCCTTAACCTCCTTCCTGAGGGGAGCGGGGCAAAAAGTGTGTGTGCTGGGTGAGTGGGGTCCTTCATGATGCAGGTGACTCTCTTCCTGCATCTGGAGGTGTAGATGTCTGTGATGGCGGGGAGACTGACTCCAGTCTTTATTTATACATCCAAAATAGATTTCCACTTGATTTTTTTTTGGTCCTCTTCAGCATATTCCAACATGCTAAACAACATTTTCATACATCTTCCCAAGTTGTCTAAACCAACATAGTGTGTGTCAAGGGCTTTAGGAGCTGACTGAATACTGACTGTATGTGTGTAAGCCATACGTACTACACAGTGTTTCCCCTAGTTAGCTTGCCATGGCGGGGTTCTCATCTCATCCGTGATTTTTGCTGATGGGGGGGACGGAGACATGTCTGAGCGCAGCTTGTACTAACAGTTTTTGAGCGGGGGCGGGGGGCGTTCAACATGAGGGAAGAGGCAATGTGAGTGCTGCCTTGGGCTTTTTAGCTAGAGAGCCTGTATTTTGCACCACTACCTTAGTGATATGTCAGTGCCGGGTGGGGGTGGGAGGGGCAAGTTCAGTTTGGTAGGCGGGGTGCTCAGTTTTGTTGGCGGGGTGGGGCACCCTGCCTGTATAATGGTAGGGGAAACACTGGTACAGACACGTTTCATATGTGCAGTAGTGTTTATGAGACAGTCAGTGCAACAAATGAAATAATGAATGCACCTATAGAAAGAAAATCTGATTACTGCAGATACAAGAATATAATTAAGATGCATATGTGACCTGTTTTTCTTGTATCTAACAGTTTTTTTTTTCATACACAGCCACACATACACAGTGAAGGATCTCCTGTAAGAATTAAACATTTAAGGCTTTACACTTAATTCCAGATTTGGATTCTGTGCTGCTGAGTGATGTTTTCCTGCCATCCTTGAGTATGTAGCAGTAGTTATGGAAACCTTTTCACCTCACTGATCCCTCAGCTCTTGTTAATGCACACATCAATTGGCCAGTCAACCCAGTTCTGTTCTCTATCATTCAGGAAAAAGTCAGAGCCACTAAAGTTGCTGTGCTGACTCTGTGCCAGTGAGTGACCACATTTGAGAAAAGTCAGTGTAAATAGATCAGTTAAAGATTGGAGGGATCAGATTTTTGACATTATAGAACTATTTGGAATAATACCATCATTTATAGGGGAATAAAGTCCTATGTGTGCATACTGTTCTCAACTTCATAAGTGGTGTCTTGTGTCAAAATTGATGGCACAACACCAGTTGTGTAAGTGGAGGGCTGGGCTGTTCTGGTCAGGTGTGTACAGCCTGATTTTTGTAACTTGTTGCACACCACACAAGCAAAAGGGAAATGGTCTGTACGTCTAGCACCTTTCCAGCCAATCAGGCTAGTCAAAGCATTTTACAACACAATCTGTGAACTCATTGTCCTCCGTCGTGGAGCGAAAAGGGGAATTAAAATTACCTTCTGTCCATCCGTGAATGTTGTGAGCGAGATAACTTGATAAATAAGTGAGGTACTGTCTTCCTTTGTGGTGTGTGGCTTCAGCAAGGCATAAGAAAGGTGTGCAGTTCAGTACGGTAGGCGGTGCGCTCGTTTCTTTTGACAGGATAGGGCGCCCCCGCTTGTATAATTCTAGGGGAAACACTGTATAGGCTGGCCAGTATATGTAACTGGCCAGCCTAATCATTTGAGGAAACTATGCATTCTAATGTTTATATTGCTTACAACTATACTTAAAAGTATAGATTCCTCAAATGATTGGGGATGCCAAAGATTAATCTCCTCTGGCTCCATCACTGGGTCTGGTGGTAGATAAAATTGCTTCCACCACTCACCAGGTTCAGTCACTCTGCACTGCCTTGGACAAGAAAAACAAAAACTACTGTTCTTCCAACATTTTTCAGTCAGGTCATCTGGACAGTTTCTTTTTTTTTGTGTGTGTGCTGAAATGTTTCCCCTTCGAACCGGAAGGTTACATCAGTCAAGGAAACACACAACAAAACTGATTCTTCCCCCAACATCTTACTCCAAAGTGGAACAAACCAGTTTTGTTGGTGATAAGATGGTCTCTTTGGTACACCCCCTCCTCCATTGCCGGCCCTCTTCCTTGTTGACAGTCATGTCAAACTGGTTGAAAACAGATGACCTGACTGAAAAATGTTGGATTGTATACCTGGATTATTGAGCATGGACTTTACTTTTGTTCTTCTACACAATGTAACTCCTACCCACTTGAATATCTTGCACCAAAATATGAAGGCTTGCTTGCCTGTTCAATTTCTGTCCAGAAAAAACACTCATCTTGAAAACTACAAACATTCACTGTTTAAATCCTTAAGCAACAAGGGACATCGGCGCACTGCTTGTTTACCCGTCCACATTGATACAGCACTCTACTACTTCTCTATAATCTGAATTAACAATTCTTTAGAGTTTAGTCAGTACTTTAGATTTCATTCTTATATCCATGGGGCAGACAGACGTCAGTTGCAGGGATGGGTTTGTCTTGCCCATGTGACTGCATTCTGCCAGGAATCAAACTTTGATTCTCTCTTTGAAGGTTTACTGCTCTAACCCCTGAACCACAGCCACACTTATAAACATGAAGACCAGCAAAGCAGAATCAGTGAGCGTTATTAGCGAAGTATTATGAGCTCAAAAAAATCTCTGAAATGTAAACAGGATGAAACTTTTGTAGTTACATTTTTATGAAGCATGTATTTTCTGTGCCATTCTGTTTCCAGTAGTGAAAAATGAGAACTATAATTAGTGCTGCACATGTGAAAAACAGCGCAAAAATGGTGCAACTGGCAACTCTGCTGTCTTGATGTCACAGTTCGCTTGTGCCACGAGGTATTTTTTTTTTTTCAATATGCTGCTTGAGGCTTTACATCTGTTTATACGTCAGAAAATCAAAACAAGCGGGCTTTTACTTGGACATGTCCAGATGCATGCTCAATGATCCAGGTAGATAACCCTAACGAGGTTGAGTCAGGTCCTCTGGACAGAGTCTTCTTTGTTGAAATGTTTCAACAAAGTAGAATCCAGAGGACTTGATCCTACAGTGTTGGGTTTTACTTGGACAATCTTAGATAACTTGGTGGTTATTAAACCAAATTCAGGTTCAGATTTTGTTTATTTGTCATATGCAAAAATCAACACAAGGTCAACAATGCAATGAAATGCTGAGGACGAGAAGAACCTTCTCGACTTGCCAAAAAAGAAACAACAAAAGAAATACTAAAGCATGCAGCAAAAATACAAAAACAAGGTGCAAAAAGTGAAAAAGAAATGCATCTACAGTGTGGTTTGGTTAGCAGTGAGGTTCTTTCAGCAGCATGGTTCTGTTCTGTTAGCAGCGTTAGCAGCTTGATAATAACGACCGCAGCAGCTGCCCTCGCAGACTGTCCTCCAGAACCGAGTCCAGCAGACAGAGAACATCCAAGGTTTTTCCTGCAGAGCTGAACAGGTCCGTAGAGTTTGGTCCATGCAGGCAGGTGGAGGATCATGGAGACGGCTGCCATGACAGGCCGGCGCGTGAGCCCGAGGCTGGAGGGGGGCCAGGAACTGGACCACGACGGCAGGATGGGATGATGGCATGATGGCAAGGCAGCAGCACAGAAATCTCCACAATGTTTTGCGGTCATACCCGTAGCATGGGTGTGCAGTGTAGGTGCAAAAAAAGTTTAAACAAAAACACCAGGAGCAAAAAAAGATGGAGTCGAAGCAGCGCTCCTGTCAATGCGGCCATACTGCGGTGCTCGTGGCGTCACATTGAACTCCTTTGTTTTTTCTGTTTTGGTATTTCAGGTCCAAACTGGGTCTTTTTCAATCAAGAATTAGTTTACAGAAAGCAAGCGTCAAGGTAAGCGTGTTTTAGTAGGAAAGTCATTTTTCATTTAAGCACAACTTTACTTAAAATTTTTAGACAAATATGTCAGTATTTCTCTTGTTTTTTTAAACCCACATAAAAAGCTAAAAGCTTTCATATTTCCCTCCACATTTTAGCATACAATGAATCTCTGTCTCTGTTTTGTTTCAGTTGAAAGCAAAGAGAAGTGACTGTAACTCCAAGGCGACGCAGGCCAGGAATGACTACTTGCTAACGCTAGCTGCTGCCAATGCCCATCATGATCGCTACTACCACACCGATCTGCTGCACTGCATACAGGTATGTTGGTGGAGACTCGCTCATCTAGGACAGGGCAATCCTAAGAGGTTTTAAGAAAAAGGCAGCTGGGCTTCTTTAGTTTTTAAAATGGTACTTACTGTGATATGAATTAAAGGCTGAAGGATGAGAGTGGTGTAAGAGAATACAATAAAGTAAATCTTTCCACTTGAAAAAATAAGCTGGAGACGGAAATTTGTAATGCTCCTCCAATTTTTACCACAGCTCGTACTGACTTAAGGATCTCATTTGAATACTACGTTGAGGGATTGTTTAGCAATGGGAAATCATTCTCTGGTTGGAAAATTTAAATAGGACTCTTAGAAATACAGATAGATTATTGTGTGTATGAGAGTGCACACCATCAGGCTCGAAAATGGCTTGAAAAAGGTGAAAATTACACAGGTTTGAGTCTTCAAAGACTGCCACAGCCTTTCATGGATTCATCACTTAATTGGAATAAATATCTATGTGAGTAACAGCTATGGCAGATTGGTGGTCATTGTCATGGGCTTGTAATTCTGAGGTTGCAGGTACAAGTGCATTTTGTGCAGGAAGAAATCCATTGAATTAGGGATGCACAATATTGGATTTTTGGCCGATATGTTGAAACTTATTTGGCCAATTACCAATATTTTATAGACTTTCCTTTGTCAGAACATAGCCCTCTTATTTAGGCTTATTTACTACAAAAATTGTGTAACAGCTATAAGAGCTGGTGACATATATATTCAGTAACAGCTATATGATATGCATAACACTTTAACTTATATTAAATGAAAAGTGTTAAATGTTATTCATTAGCATTAGTCACCTGTGATGCTGTTTCACTTGTGGAGGCTTGTTCCAGGTTAATGGCTGCAGAGTGGGATCCTCTGCACTCCTGTGCATGAAGGACAGACTTTAAGTTCAAAGTTTTGTCTATCCATTGTTCCGTAAGACCAATCATGCTAACGGGGCTAACACTTGACATTCACATGTCTGTGGGAAAACTCACCTAAGTGCTATCGGCTATTAGCTTCTCAGTGATGTCGGAAGTGACGGCTTGTAACTCGGGTAAGGCTGCGTCGGAATAATATCTCCAACTGGGGACGCTGCTTGCTACATCGTCCCCAGTTGGAGATATTTGATCAACGTAGTCCAAAAATCTTCGGAATCCGACATCCTCTGCGGAAAAATCCTTCCACATCCCCGACATTTTGTCTTCTTCCTCTCTGCTGTGATCGGATTAGGTAGGCGCGCGTGATGTCATCACGTTGTGCTGCCGCTGCAGGCATCCCTGTCACTGGGTTGTCATACAAAACCAGCATCTTTTATAATGGTGAGTTATTTTGATGGAGTTATTTTGATGGAATGGCCGATGTCTGATATTTAACTTTAACGCTAATATCGGCTGATACTAATACCATGCCGATAATATTGTGCATCCCTACATTGAGTAGAAATAGAATAGAGTAGGAATTGAATATATGCAATGCAAAACAAATTGTCCTGATTTCTCCCTATACCAAATGACCGGGAATCAAATTATTACGATCATGAATAAAATGTCAGAACACATCTAATTTTTGTATCAGAATACATGAGAATTTAAAATAATATTTATGTAAATTCTGTCTTAAAATTCTGACAGTTCCTGTAAATCAATGAAACTGTTTATCTTGTGATACTATGAGCACTATAATGATTTGAGAACTGGTTTTAAGCTTGCGAGTGCAGGCTTTTCCTGTAAGTGCTCACACTTTTTCCAACTAAGTTCGGATGCAGCAAACTTGTACATGATTGAAAGAACATTTCAAACTTGCCTAGTTAAAAAAAGTTTCCTATAATTTCTCAAACTTTTATTTTTTTGCTAAGGTAGGTTGTTTTTTTTTTAGTCTTGTTAAAATGTTTCCTCCCTGACTCTGACACTTTTTGCCTCAGGCAGGCTTGAGCATCTATCTTATGAGGCCATTCTGAATAATAGATCCTCATCTCGTCGTGACAGAAGGACAGAACTGCAGGGAGATATGCATGTACACAAATATGTGCATGCAAACACACAAGGAGAATGAGGGACACTGCTTGAGGGAAGCAAGCTGTTCCTGCAACTCATTTGTGGCGTTTACAAGTTTTCAAATAAAAACGTTGTATTGTTTGACTGAGCAGATGGACCAAAATCTACAGAACAAGAACGATGTATGTTAGAACGTATATCATGTTATAGAAATGTTTGTACCGTTTATGCTGTCACTTACTCAGTGTGGCAATGGGAAGATATTTTTACATTAGTTCAAACTGGAATACATAATGCTAAATTTCACTTTTCAGAAATCCTTGTGTTAGTAAAATATAAAAGCACATTCTTTAAAGAAAGACTAATGGCTTGTTGCCTTGCATACCAAAGATGTTGCACGATATTTTAGCACTCAGAGTGCATGCTGGGATGACTATCAGCTAGTACACCTAGTTCAAACTCAAGTTTTGTACAAACAACAAAGTTGTAGCCATTTTTGATTAGCCGTGGTGGCCATTTTGATTGGCTGTAGATGTGTGTAGTAATTACTTTCAGAAAGTTTTATTAAAATCGGTACAATGGTATACTAGATATTTAGCTAACAGATGGATATAGGTGATTTCAACAGATAATATCAAAGTTTAAAACAAAGATTAGATAAAACCTTTTTTGATCCCATGGGAAGATTCCTTCATACTTTGCTATGTGTCAGTGCTCAGATTGTGTGTTGGGGATTAATCTCAGCTACTACCACACCAAATGCTAACACAGTATCTATAAAACTGACTGACTTTTAGCCATTTTTGTGTTGCTAAAATTCAAAAGCTGTGGCGGCCATCTTGAACTGGGCTGGCTCCAAATGGTAATCCGTTGGAGATCTACGTCTAGTAACTGCTTTCAGAAAGTTTGATTAAAATCTGTAGAAAGGTTCACAAGATAATACTCTAACAGGCAAACTAACATGTAAACACACACAAGCACAAGCTATTACATTATCACCCGCCATGCAGGGCTTAATTTGTAAACCGAACGATGCCAGAAGGCAAATAGTGTGCGAGCCGGCGGCAGGGTGGGGGGTGTCTGGAGGTCCTCCCCCAGAAAATTTTGAATAAATTAGATGAGATTTCCTGCATTTTGGTGTATTTTAACAGGTTGTTAAACATCCTGTGTTCACCTACATTTGTAAACAAATGTCTGTTTGTACTAGGGGTTAAACAACTACACATTTTTAAAAGTCGACTTTAGCATGATAAAAATCGATTCAACTTCGACTAGTCGATGACGTCAAAGGAACTTAAGATGCTGTATATTTGCAAAAAATAAAATAAAATTAGAAAAAAAGTCATTTATTATTTACACACACACAAAAACAAGAACAACAAAACATTGGGCATATATTTATGCTCCTACCATTTATCATACAGCAAACAAGTCAAAGGAAAAGCAAAACTATTATCCGGCTGCAAGAATGCTGCTGTTTTTATTTTATTTAATCCACCACGTGGAATAGGGTTGGGAAAAGCGAGGGGAGGGGGGTGCGACTAGTCGACGGGAAATATAAAAACTTGCGAGATGGCATCCTAGTCGATTAGTCTATTCAACCCCTAGTCTGTACATGGCCGCTGCCTGTGGGCTCCTGCCCGTGTACGACTGCCTGGTTAGCTAGGCACTCACCCCCACCACTAAGAGTGGTGGAGATTCTTTTAAGGGTAGACACAGAAATTCTACTTGAAGGGGCAGATTTTATGTGGCTGTTGTGTTTAAAATGAGTGTTTATGTAATTATTTTCAGTTTACATATTCAATATAGGTTTTATTTGTTCATAACTTTATTATTAGTAAGGCTGAGAGTTACTGGATCCAAGCAAACAGTTACCGGAACGCACCCTGTCAAAATAAGAGTTCCTGGATCCTGTTCCGGCAGGATCCAGCTCAGATTAAGCCCTGCCGCTATGGGCAATTTAAAAAAAATCCCCTTTATCATTACATTTGAAGCAAACAGGAAGTTGATAAAATGAAGATGCCTGAAAATACAAAAATGGCTTCCAGACAAGAATATTGGAAGACAATGACTCCCACATGCCTTGTTAGGATCAAACCTATTGATAGCTGCACCTGGCTGCAGTAATAACTCAAGTTCTTCATGACCTGGGCTGTCCTTGTCCATGCGACAGCTGTGGAGAGGACAGGAGCTGCTCCACGTCCCCCTCTGCTGTTCAAAAACCATGTTGTCCAAACGCTCACCCCCCCTTTAGACACACACGCTTAAATTTACACCTCTGCTGCCCTGTCCTGTACTTTTTGTTCAGAATGATGCAGTCATTTGACATTAGGTCACACACATAAAAACAAAGTGACCCCAGTACAAGCTTTTTCTGGAAGCTGACTCACTTCATTTCAACACTACCATAAATGGATACAAAAGAGGAGGAGAGGAAGAGAAAAAAGGCGGAGGAGGAAATTAGCAGAATGATGAGGGAACATGTAGAGAGAAGTCAGCCAGCGACCCACCCTGAACGACATCATTTCCTTCTTAATATTGTATTGTTTTACAGGACTGTGTCTCACGTGCGCAGATGGCACAGTCCTGATGTTACTGCGCCCATTTGTCAAAATCTTTGCACGTGTTTACATTAAGTATTGACTTATTTAAAACGTGAAGTTCTGGTTGGTAACAAAGACAGTACAAGCAATAATGTAGGAATAAATCCAGTACATTATTTATGTTTGTCTGTTAGGAGAGAAAGAAACGTTACAAGATCCACTTGCTCCTGCAGCGTCTGCAGGTTTGTGAGAAGACGAGCTTCTGTGAAGAGCTTTCACCGGAGGACTTTATTCCAACTGAGCACTTGATGGAGTCTCTGAGCTCTGCGGAGTTTGATTAGTTGACCTGCAGTCTGAACCCTCTCACCTTCTACTGCAGCCACGAGAACAAGAGATTTTGAGAACACAAACACATATCTTTCTAAGACTTTTAAACTTTTCCTCTTGTGCTCCCTAATTCTTGTTTAAATGATCTTCCTCCTCACTGTCTCTTCCTCTGGTTGATGTTTGTGTTTGGCAGTGTGGTCTGCAGCTTGGCAACTCTCCTCCGGCTGATCATGTGTCAGTAATGTCTTTCTATCAATGCGTCTAAAGATCTAATGAAGTCTGTCCAACTAAAACATCTGCTTAGTTTCTTTAAGCTAAACTTGAGCGTGTATCTTTTTCACGACTCTGTTCTCGTATCCTCCGTCCAGTTTACTTCATGAAATTTCTCTTTCAGCTTTCCTTCCATTACACACTGTATAAATGGCTATAATTTAAAAGAGCAAAAATGTTTTAGATTTTGGCTTCAGAAGCCTGTTTTTGATCGTTTTGATCCCAGGACAGGTGTGTCCTATTTGTCAAGCATCGTTACATTTAGGACCAAAGTATTGTTGATCAGGTAAGGCATAGATTAGATATGTTTCTACACTGAAAATGCTGATGTTAGGGGAAGTCTTACTGCATTAACGGTTTCAAAACATGGTGCTTGTAACTCAGGCACTTGTCTGGTTTGAGCTGTTGTAACGATACAACTCATGCAATCCTAACAAATTAAACCAAAAGCAACTGGACTTTATTTTAAATTTTCTTGAACACCCTTTGCATCTAATCTGAAGAACTTTCTCAGTTTACATCAAAGTTCAGGCTCAATAATCCAGGTAGACAATCCTTCAAAGTTCAGTGAAGTCATCTGGACGGTTTCTTTTTGGTGGGTTTGCTGCTTGTGGGACTGAGTTTGTTGTGACTGCTCGGACTGATGAAGTCCTTTGGATGAAGGATGAAACGTCTCAACAAAAAAAAGAATCTGAGAGAGATAGAGATAGAGATAGAGAGAGCGAGAGAGAGAGAGAGAGAGCGAGAGAGAGAGAGAGAGAGAGAGAGAGAGAGATTGATTGATTGATTGATTGATTGATTGATTGATTGATTGATTGATTCTTTTTGTTTATTTGAATTCCCTCCCTCTTGAATAGAACATGAATGAATAAAAATGTACACAAACTGGAGTTTTTCACACAGTAACCTTGATGTTCTTCTCCTGGCTGTTCTTTAGGCCTTAGATGGGAGGATCTATGAACACGTGAAGGACTACCTGGTGGCGTTGTGTCGCACTGAACTGGAGGCCTCCCAGGCTACTCACAACACCTACCAGTTCCTTTTAGAAAAATCCACCCGGGTGAGTTGGATGTAGTCAGGCACCATCTGGGCTCAAGTTTGTAAATGTGGACATGTAGATGCACAACATGTAGTTTTTTAACTATGATAAACTAGTTAAACAAGCTTTTATTTGATTGGTTACTGAAGTAAAGCATTAATTGTTATGTACCGTATTTTCCGCCGTACATCTTGCACCACCCTATAAGTTGCATCAGTCCAAATATGTCTAGAAAAGAAGAAAAAATCCATAAATAAGTTGCTTTGCCATATAAGTCGCATCTATTATGTGTCACCGCTGACGCGTCATGTTTGTTACGCGTCACCACTGACAACCCGGAAATGTGGGCCAGTGTTGTGCCAAAAATCAATTGGCTGCCAAATGGCGGCTGTGGGAGCATGAACTGGAGGACTTTAACAAGATTTTAACGAGATTAGCACTTAAAAACAATTATTTGTTTGCTTGAAATTATATTAAAGGTGTGTCTCAGTCTAACTTTTACTTAATAAATGCACTTCAATGGTCAAATCAGCTTCATTTCACCAGCAGCGAAATGAAGCTGATTTGACGGTTGCTCCAAGCAAGCTGGACAAAGGTGGTAGGCTATGGCAGGCCTATTGTGTCATTAAGAGCCACTTTTACCTATTACGTGACACTACGGCATGCCAAACTATTTGAGTGCCAAAAAAACATAAATAAGTCACTTCAGCGCATAAGTCGCAGGGCATGCAAATTAGGCAAAAAGTTGCAACTTATAGGCCGGAAAGTATGGTATGTAATGAATATAGTAACTTTAACTTTTTGGTTTTGGCATGAATATTTTTGGAGAGAATCTGGTTTTATTTCATGAAATATGAAAAGGAACAATTATCACAGAGACAGTTCATTTTATTTAATTTCATCTTATTTTGTTTGTATTTTATACTATATATCTAGTAAATATCCTCTCTTACAGTATTTTATGTTTTTTATTTGTCCCCACAGCGCTAGCTCTCTATTTCCAGTTAAGTTTGAAGCCAAAGCAAGGAATCTGCTATATACAAACTTAAAAACTTCACATTTATATTATTGTGGTTAATATAGTTTACTATAATAAGTACAATAACATGAATGTTTGTTTTTTTTCCACCTCCACATGGACTCCAATAATCTTATTATCCAAACTAAATCCTGTGTCGTTAGTAAAACCTCACCTCGTGTGATCTTGATGTGTGTCAGCTAGAAAGTTTGTTTCCTTTTTTATCAGGCTACAGCATCAGAGGTCAGATTTACTGAATGCAAGGCTCATCATGTCTTTCTGGTTGTCTCTTAGATAATCCAGGAGTTCAACCAGCAGCTGTTCATGCAGGAGAACCCTGTGTTTCACAAAGCACACGACTTCCAGTTCCAGCCCAGTGAATACGACGTGGTAAGAAAGCTGCATTTATAACTGCACTTATGTATGAACGTCTTTGAATTGTTTGGGGATAAACCACCTCCCACCAGGACAGTAACTCGTTCTTTGTCCTTCTGAATCTGACTCCCACACACATGCAGCCTGTTGTGTAGGTTTTACACCCCGATTACTCCCACTGTTGCTTTTATATCTGTGGGTAAACATTTATTAAATTGCTGGAACTAAATGAATCTCCTTTTTCCTCGTATGATTTTAGAGACACGCGTTGTATTGTGTTTGAGAGGCTGTTAAAGCTCACCCTCACTTTGGAGAGGTTTGTGGGTCTGCACTTTAGCTGTCTGGTCAACTATTCGGTGACAGGATGACAGAAGGTGAATCAAATATTTTTGGATCGCTGCAGCGAAACCATGTGTGTCCACTGAGACCTTCATTATCTAGTCTTTAGATTTGTTAACGTTCAACTAAGCTTATCTACAAATAAAATCTTGAACTCGTCTGGTTGCACATGTTTCAGATTGTTTTCTAACAGTCAGAGTTTTGGGGCGGCTGTACAGCGGTTGAAATGATGCTGTCTCACTCCGCTGGGAGCTTGTTAAGTGTTTCTGGATACGACAGAGATGTCTCAGCGGACAGAGCTCCTACTCCCTCTGAAGACGAGCGATCATCCTCTCCTGTTCGAGTCATACTGTGTTTTCTTCTCTGTGCAGCCGTCTTGCTGTCCTCTTCAGTTTCTTGGTCTAACGTTCTCACTCTTCTGCCACTTCAGTGTTTCTCTCTGCAGCGATGTTCTGTTCTTGCTGTGTATCTTCCTGTTCACCTTTGATACTTGCTAACGCTTTTCCTTCAACTTTGTCTCCCATTAACCCCTTCTTGTATTGGTACGCCTGCGTGCTTGCACTGCTATGTGCATGTGTGGGTATGTGAATACCCCCCTGTCTGTCTGTGTGTTTGTGTGTGTGTGGCAGACTCTGAGCTCGGTGCAGCAGTTGGTGGACATTGAGCCGTCGCCCGTCAGTGCCATGAGAATGACCCTGGCAGAGGTAGTCTTTAACTGTTGTTAGCGTTAACCATCTTCATTCCTGCGATAAACCATCGACTCCACCCACATCCTGGCATCTGTTTGGCATGTTAAAGTTTAAAGTTGTTAGCTATGCACCAAAACAAGCTTTGATAAAGAATTCAGACATGTATTTCATCACTGACTGAACTGCTCTAGATAACTTTTTAATTGATTTTTTTTCTTTTTACAAAATAAAAGTCTTTGTCCAGATCAGAAGCAAATATTCTAATAAAAACAGTAAACAGTAAAAACCAAATCATTGGTGTAGTTTCTAGAGTTAACGTGAGTTAAGCAAAAAAAAACGACACACAACAGGAACGTTGCGCTGCGTTAATAAAAACATCTATTAATGTTACTAAAACGTACAGGACATAACCGGAGGTGCTCTGAAACAATGAGACAATTTAAAGCTCCAGCTGAACAGTTTTTATCTTTTTTACTAGAAAAAATATATTTTAAGCAATGGATTGAAAAGCAATATGTGTTTATCCATTATCTTTTACCCGCTTCTTCCATTTTGGGTCACGGGGGGGTCACCGGTGCCCATATACAGCAATCACTGTGCGAGGGGCGGGGTACACCCTGGACAGGTCGCAAGTCCATCACAGGGATGTGTTTTACCATCGACTTTATAATGATGAGATTTCAAGTTTTATATACAGTAGTCCCTCATTTATCACGGGTGTTCCATTACTCCCCCCCCCCCGCGATAAGTGAAAAACTGTGAAGTAGGGATACAGGAGTTCAAGTTCAGTAAACTTTGTCATGACGTGCCAGGCTGCAATCACATTCATCACCTGTTACTCCTGATCTCCCTCCTTAAACAAACTATTTAAATGCTGTAACATTTTAAATAAGCAGTCCATGCAGCATGGATTGTTTTGGTGTTTTGGTGGCCTTAGGATTGTGTCTCTGCTTTTTGCAGATGATGTGGTCCTATTGGCTTCATCAGGTCATGATCTACAGCTTTCGCTGGAGCGGTTCGCAGCCGAGTGTGACACGGCCGGGATGAAGATCAGTTCCTCCAAATCCGAGGCCATGGTCTTGAACCGGAAAAGGGTAGAGTGCCCTCTCCGGGTCAGGGACGAGGTCCTACCCCAAGTGGAGAAGTTCAAGTATCTTGGGGTCTTGTTCACAAATGAGGGAAAAATGGAGCGTGAGATCGATAGGCGGATAGGTGCAGCGTCTGCAGTGAAGCTGGCGCTGTACCGGTCTGTCGTGGTGAAGAGAGAGCTGAGTCAAAAGGCAAAGCTCTCAATTTACCGATCGATCTATGTTCCTACCCTCATCTATGGTCACGAGGTTTGGGTTGTGACCGAAAGAACAAGATCTCGGATACAAGCGTCCGAAATGAGTTTTCTCCGCAGGGTGTCTGGGCTCTCCCTTAGAGAGAGGGTAAGAAGCTCGATCATCCGGGAGGGACTCGGAGTAGAGCCGCTGCTTCTCCACGTCGAGAGGAGCCAGTTGAGGTGGCTTGGGCATCTGGTTAGGATGCCTACTGGACGCCTCCCTCGTGAGGTGTTCCGGACACGTCCCACCGGAAGGAGGCCCAGAGGAAGACCCAGGACACGCTGGAGGGACTATGTTCCTCGGCTGGCCTGGGAACGCCTCGGGATTCCCCTGGAGGAACTGGACCAAGTGGCTGGGGAGAGGGAAGTCTGGGCCTCCCTACTTAGGCTGCTACCCCCGCGACCCGACCCCGTATAAGCGGAAGAAAATGGATGGATGGATGCAGCATGGATTGCATATTTAACAATGTTACAGTATTTAAATTTAAATAGTGGAGAAGAGAAGTGCAGCAGGGCATCAAAGGGTTAACCCTTCATTCAGCTCTGCAGCACGGAGCAGAAATGTACTTCTTCATCAATTACACTGAAACAACTGAACATAGAAGTTCAAAATAATTAAAACACTTCTATATTTTGTGATTTATGATGATTTTTACGATGTGACATACTTTGAATTTTAAGTTGGAAGACAAAAGTCGATCGGTGCTTCTGGACAGCAAAGGGTTAACCCTTCACAGAGATGCAGCAGGAGACGTGTGGTGACAGAGAAGATCAGTTGATCAGCTGCAGGGTGGGGCTTCCCTTTCACTTTTGGTCTGCACGCAATCGTTTAAAAAAATGTATATTAAATAAACAACCCATGGCTCGAGGAGGAGACCCAGAGGAAGACCCAGGACACGCTGGAGGGACTGTGTTTCTCAGCTGGCCTGGGAGCACCTTGGGATTCCCCTGGAGGAGCTGGCCCAAGTGGCTCGGGAGAGGGAAGTCTGGGCCTCCCTACTGAAGCTGCTACCCCCGCGACCCGGCCCCGGATTAGTGGAAGAGAATGGATGGATGAATGGAACCCATGGCTCATCCATCAATCAGACAGTTGAGTCATGCCTAATCTTACTTTGAAAATCTGCAATATAGCAAATCCGCAAAAAATGAACCACGAAGTAGCGAGGGACTACTGTATTTCAGCTAATACTGATGCTCTTTCCTGCACTATTTTACTCACTGCAAAGCAAACTAATCCTTTTGCAACGCTATGATTCAAATTAAATTGTTTGATAGATGGCCATTAGTTTTAAAAACTGTTGAAAAACCCTTCACTGTTAATAAAATTACTACTTGATGAGTTCTAGTCTGCACCACTGAACTCACTAACTGTGATTATGACTTTTGGGTCAATTTTTTCTTGAAACCAGCCTCAAAGGTCCTCAGGTATGAACTTCAGTCTTTGCACTGCAAATGCAAGACAGTAAAAGATGCTGCCTGAATGTAGAATGAGTCTGTACAGTGCAGCTGTCCTGGATGGAAACCTCTTAAACCTAAAGTGGAGTGACTTTTCCAGAACATCTTTGCTTCAGCTCACACTAATAACATTAGTATGCTTGACATAAGAGCTCAGAATCTCTAGGAACCAAAGGTGAAGCAGAAATTCATATATAACCACTTTCTACTTGTCATTTTGTCTAATTAGATAAAGATATTTCTGCTTGTGCTCCAGATATTGCTTTTTAAAGTGACCAGTCAGTTTGTGGCTTACGGAGGGTGCTGCTGATCTTATCACGTAGTGGTCAGGACATTACCAATAGTGTGTGCAATATATTTCCCTCTTTTTAAATATAGTGCATGTTATTGGAAGAAAGTTTAATCATCAGAATGTTTGTGCATTTGTCACATTATTGTGAGTTTGAATGTTGGATGCTGCAGAATAATACCACCAGCGTGGCAGCAGTTGTTGCCATTGATGACATCATTATCACTGCTTTTTCAAAAATAGGAGAAAATAAAAGGATTAACTCAGAAGGTTCTCAACTAGAAGTTTAAAATCTGTCTTCAGCGTTTGCATTTATACAACACTACAGTTAGTAGAAATCCATCCATCCATCCATCCATTATCTTTACCCGCTTATTCCATTTTGGGTCACGGGGGTCGCCGGTGCCCATGTCCAGCAATCACTGTGCGAGGGGCGGGGTACACCCTGGACGGGTCGCAAGTCCATCACAGGGCCACACAGAGACAAACAAGACAAACAACCATTCACTCTCTCACTCACACCTAGGGACAATTTAGAGTTACCAATCAATCTAACATGCATGTTTTTGGTCTGTGGGAGGAAACTGGAGTACCCGGAGAAAACCCACGCATGCACGGAGAGAACATGCAAACTCCACCCAGAAAGGCCCCTGGACCAGGGTTTGAACCAGGGACCTGCTCGCTGATAGGCAGCAGCTCTACCAGTTGCGCCACCGCGCTGCCCGTTAGTAGAAATACTTTTTTTATTTAATATGAAATAATTTGAAAATTGCTACATTGAATTTTCCCAACAATCTGGGTAAATCTATAATAATAATAAGTGCTATGTGTTGTCATCATTCTTTGTTCTCATGCAATGCCAAAAAATTAGTTTTCTGCATTTCACCCAGCACACCTGGGATACACCCCGGTGGAGCAGTGGACAGCTATGTGAGCGCCATGGGAGCAATTAGGGATTGGGTGTCTTGCTCAGAGACACCATGATATGTGGGAATGGCTGGGGATCGAACCTGGGGCTTTCAGGTCGGCTGTCCTGCCTCTACTCCATCTCAGCCCCCCCAAATCTACGATTCTCTGCTGTAACCGTATGAACTGTGAGGTATACAGTACTTAAAATCAAACGCATGGTCTCCGTGTATTGTAATTTATTTGTGTTCTGCCTCGTTTTGCAAGAACGCATCGAGAAATTCTTTGTTAGTTGATTATTTGCGTGAGAGTCACTTCCTGTCACTGAAATCCTGTCGTGCATGCTCTGAGAATAATGCAGTCTGAACACCAGATGATAAACATGCCCGAGTTCTGCTGCAGTTCTGAGAAAGGTTCAGTGAGCCAAACCGTTACTGTCAATGGAAAACATCGTTTCCTGTGTTTAGTTGGTCTCGCTTACTTTTGTGCTATTTTCATTTTTGACAAGATTCCACAGAAACAGTTTGTTTTTAATGAAAATCAACATTTATAGAGATTTTTATGATTTTTAAAAATCAGCACGTACCACTCATACCTTCATACGATCCCTGTTTTAGCTGTGTTCATGTGTGTTGCTCAGCGTGGCGTCAGATTAACAGATTTGTGTCACGCAGAACAGAAAATGACCATTATTATGAAGACTGAGGTGTTTGTAGAAGTACAGCCTGATCCACCGTTTCAGTCCACTGTGTGTACGTTCACTTTCATCTGGCAGGCTGACAGCTATAAAGTAACATCTTCTTTTACCTTTGTTCAAGTTAATTAATACAAGTCTTTAGAACTATACATTTGACAAAGTCATATCAGGTCAGTGCCACTGTTTTAATCTCAAGTTGTGCTTCGCTCCGTTAACTCTCTGATCCTCCTGCGCCTGAATGTAATTAAGCTGTAAATCTCCGTTGTAATGCGTTTAGTTTCACACCCATACTTATCCAGATTCATGCCCTGGTGTTACTGAATCAGCACATAATTAAAATGTATGATTTGCATGAAAAGGTGCAATTAAAATATTATGCGCTTCAGTCCAACACATGTTTATTACCAGATTATCGTGGCCACAGGTTCTCAGGTTTGTGAACACACAACGGTGACAAATGTAAATGGACTGTACTTATACAGCGTCTTTCTATCTAATCAAGATACTCAAAGTGCTTTACAACACTGTCTGTGCCTCATTTACCTCCACACACATTCATACAGCACTCTGCTACATTCCTGCAAAGCTAATTGAACACATCGTTCTAAAGAGAATAATCAGAGCTTTATCACATTCATACGCTGATGGGACACACATCGGAGACAACGAGGGGTTCAGTGTTTTGCCCAGGGACACTTCAACGTGTGACTGCTGCTGGAATCGAACCCCCAACTCTCCCATTGGAGGACAACTTCTCTAATCACTCAGCCACATGCCCGAATGTCTGCATCCTCACACTGTTGGCCTTGTTACAACGGGAGCTGGATGCGGGTCATGGTTCACTGCAGCTAGCTGCTGCTAGCCGTGGGCCTCAGGCCTCCTCTTGGACCCAGGACCCGCCTCCAGCCTACGTCCTTCCCCCGGCTTAGACCTCCCTCAGAAGCGGCAACTCACAGTAAATCAAGGAAACCTGACTTCAGTTTTACCAACTGTATTAAAATCAAAGCAGGAGAAGGTTACAGTTTACAACGCTGGCCTCTCCGGTCTACGACACGAGATCAGGAACCGGAAGGGGCCGGATGTCCCGTGGCAGATTTATAGGACCTAGACTCCTCCTTCACAGAAGGGGGGCACAACCTCTCAGTGTATGAGGGGAGGGACTAAGTGTGGTCTCTTTTGGACCTTATGTGAGTTAATGTGAAAGGAAACAATGAGGCCTTCCTGCATGATGTAGCAAGCAAAATAAATTATGTTCCTTGACGGATATTGAAGACCTGGGAGACTCTTTGTAGAGTTGCTGGCCCCGTTTAAACCGGTCAGAACCGGGTCATAATTTCATTATAATCCCGTCTCTGAGCAGGTCACAAACCCAGGGTCAGTCTAGATAATTTACCAACATTCTTTAATTTGTTTTTTTAACTCTCGTTTCTTTTAGGCATTTGATACAATAGTTGGATCTATCCTGATGCATGCTCAATGATGCAGGTAGAAAAATGTAACAAAGTTAAATCAGGTCCTCTGGACGGATTCAAGAGAAAGAAACAATAAATAAATGAACATTAAAACTTAATTTTAAAAATAATATCAACAGTTGGATGTGTTAGGAACATTAATTTTCACAGAGGAGAGATGAGGGTTTAACTCCTCTACAGCAGGGGTTTTCAAACATTTTGGGTTCAGGGACCCCCTCATAACTCTCACGTTTATTAAATCATTTTCTTCAGTTTGTCTCTTTAATTCAATGGAAATATTTGTGTAACATAAATACTCAAGACCTGTTTATTTATTAATGTTAATACAATTTTTATACTTTGAAGCATGAGGTACTTTTCATTTGACACACTTAATTAACAACATTTTTACTTTCAACTTCCAAAAAAGTTACATTTTTGAGTAAATAAACAGAATAAAAAAAAACACTTTAAAACTTTACCTATTCACATAATGATCATAATAAATGTATCGCCACTTCTTATTACAGAAAACTCTTTGCATCAAACTGAACAGAATCATAACAGCAGTAGTTACACCAAGAAACAGGACTTCGATTGTAAACTGATCCATGCTGGAACACAAATAGTGGGCGGGGGGTCCTCCTCCAGAACATTTTGAATAAAGTAGATGTGATTTCCTGCATTTTGGTTTATTTTAACAGGTTGTTAAAAATCTACTTGCTTGTAAAAAATACACCGCCGACCTCCAGGGGTCCGGGGACCCCAGTTTGAGAACCACTGCTCTACAGTGACAGCACCGTTGTTCATACCAGACAAAACACATTCTTCTGTTTCACCTGTGAACACCTTCTTCCACGTCCCTACTGCAGCTACTCTGACCGACCCTCCATTAGTTATATATACATATACAGTATGTACTGTAGTACTGTAACTACTGCTACAGATTTGTCAGATTTGTGTCTCTACATGTTGGGCCCTAATGTTGGTAATGTAATCATTATATCATCAATCATTATATCTGATCACGACTGACACAGGTTATGGAACTGTGTAATTAACATCCTAAGTGGGAACTTTTGTTACTTTTTGTTGTTTCAAGACTTGAGTCGAACATTGTTGCCATCAGCATCGTGTTTTTTTAGGTGATGTAGAACTCTCAAATGCATGTCTATACATTTAGTTTATCATGATTGTACACCCCTCAAAAGACAGACGTAATATGTCAGTCTTTATTACAGACATGTTGAAATTGTCTGTAATAATATTGTCTCTGTTCGTCCATACGTCTGTAAACTTTCTTTTGTCCGCGACCTAACTTCTGATCCACTCGAGGTAATTTAACAAAACCTGATGCACATTTATACCACCACTAGACAGCATGCCACCAAATACTTTCATCCCCCAACTCTAAGGTCAAGGTCACAAATCAAGGTCAAAAGTTATACTATGTCTTTGCCTGTCCAAGCCTTTTCTATGGAATGCTGTATAATAGTTTGTTGAGGAGTGTATAACGTGCTGTATGCAGTACTTTTATTTTTATTATTTTTTACTGTGTTTTTCTTTGAACAAAAGTGTCAGTTACTGTCAGCCATCTTTGGTTTGCAGTCACTGTTTTTATAGTACTTTGAACAAATTTACAAAACATGTTTTTATTTGGACATTAGAAAATGATGCAAACATTGATTGGAAAACATGGTGTCTGGAAATTTTTTGAGTTTTTAAATAAAAAGAAACCATGACTTTTTTTTCCCCCTTAAAATATCAACAAGTAGTTTAGAAGGACCTTTTTTCAGATGTTGCTGGTTTAAATGTAGCTTCCAGTACATGCCCTGTTCTCTTTTCAGACATGAGGAAAATAATAAATAAGCACGACGGTTTTAAATATGGCCACTTCATCATCACTTCAGCGGGATCCATGTTTTCACAGAAAAAGCAAAGCTGAGAAGTTTATTTTCAAAGCTGTTAAGAAATAAAATTTGTGTTTATGTCAGGGGAAAGTGGTTGACTTTAGAGGCTGAGGAAATAACAATTCCTTCTGAATAAAATTTATCACAAAATTGTGATAAAAGTTGAACAATTAATTGCTCAAATTCGACTCTTTGGCAGAGTCTCATATTGTTTTGTTTGTGATAAATAAAGAACTGTTGCCTCCTGCTCTCTTTGTGTAGCATAAATAAGACACACTCAGATTCTCACACACTTCCAGTCACTCACATTTGGTTTTAATAACAGTTTTTTGTTTAAGAGAACAACAAGTGAGCTTAGAAACACACCTTACATTATTTATTTGAGAAGGAATCAGTTTCTCTCATATTTTCTAAGCCTAATTAAAAGTCGGTGACAAACCTAAACCTCAGCACTGACTCTGACCTTGTGCTTGTTTACCTGCTGTAAACAGCGTACAGGTGTGTTTACCTAAGCCTGTTTGTGTGTGTGTGTTGATGTATTGTAGAGCCGTCAGCTGGAGTCGGAGTCGGGGACGACCGAGGAACACAGTCTGAACAAGGAGGCCCGAAAATGGGCAACCAGGGTGGCCAGAGAGCACAAGAACATCATCCACTACAAAAGAGTAAGAACCGACCGTTTGTTCAAAATACACATTTCATAAAATGCAGAAACACTTTTTAAATCAAGTATAAATTAGTCCAGACAAATAATTACATTTCTTTCTTAACGCTGAAGAATTGTGAGCAGAAATGTTGCTTTTTATTAAATATATTTTTAACTAGAGAAATTGCATTTCCTGAGAAAATGCAGTGTGAATGCTTATTGCAGTAGAACTTGCTGAAAAACAGCTGAAATTAGCTAAAAATATTCTGAAATGTAGCTAAAATGAAAGAACAAGCCTAAATTAGCAGAAGAAAGCAGAAAGATTTACTGAATTAGGTTTGAATAAGCAGAAATGAGCACAAAAATTAGGAAATCAGCTACAACAGCTGAAATTAACAACAACAAAAAACAGCTGAAAAAGCAGAAAGAAGCTTAGCTACCAGAAGCAAGTGGAAAGAGCTAAAATGAGCAAAACATGTTGAATTAGCTGAAAAAGCTAAAATTAGCATAAAACAAATAAGTAGTAGCTGAAATAGCAGATAAAGCTGAAACTAGCAGAAAAATACTGAAAAGAGCATAAGCTGAAATTATCAGAAATAAGTTAATTAGGCTAAAAATAGCAGAAATTACTAAGAATGTTTTTATTCATCTGAAAACAGCTGAAATTTACTAAAAAAAAAATCTAAAAATTAGCTGAAAAAATAAAATAAGCTTAAATTAGCAGAAGACAGCAGAAAGAACACGTTTGCCCATTTAGGCTGAAATAAGCAGAAATGAGCACAAAAAGTAGAAATAATCTGGGGAAAAAAAGCTGAAATTAGCAAAAAATAGATGAAAAGTAGCTAAAAGGCAGAAATAAGATGAAATTACCAGAAGGAAGTGGAGAGAGCACACTTTTGCTGAATTAGGCTGAAAATGGTTTAAATGAGTACAAAAAATGTGGAATTAGCTGAAAAAGCTTAAATTAACACAAAAACAGCTACATTTCATTCATTCATCCTTTATTTAGACAGGTTAATCCCACTGAGCCTTGGGGACTCATTTACAAGAGAGACCTGATTTTAACAGAGTGATGACAACAGTGAACAACAAAGACAACAATAGACAATCATAAAAGAAAACAAATACATTGAGAAGAAGATAGTAGCTGAAATAGTAGACAACGCTGAAACTTGCAGAAACAAGCTAAAAGGAGTATAACAAGCTGAAATTATTATAAAGAAATGAGAAGAAGCACAAAAATGTTGTAGTTAGCAGAAAGAGTCTGAAAGGAGCACAAAACAGCTGAAAAAACTGCTGAAATTAGCTGAAATTAGTTTAAATTTGCACAAGGAAGCTGAAAGTAGCTGAACCAGAGCAAAATGCGAAAGGAGCAGTAAAAGGTTGTAAACATATCTAAACATCTGAAGGATGTACAATGAGCTCAATTCATTTTCTATGAAGACAATTATGTTGAAATAGGTTGAAAACTGCAGGACGAGGATCACAGTGGAAAACGTACAGAAGAAAAATGGATCAGAACAGTGTGAATGCTTCATAAACATTCACACTGTTGAGTAATTATTATCAATATGCACAAGGAATGCTGGGTCTTTAGTTTTGCAACTAGTTAGTATTTGATTTGTGTACCCTTATCTAAATTGTTAACAATTATGCAATATGTGAAGTAGAAATTGTTCATTTTGACGCCCCCCCCCCCCCCACACACACACACACACACACACACACACACACACACACACAGCACCTCTAATGCTGCGTGTGATTTTCCTTTAGTCTCTGGAGGAGTGTGAAAGCCACGGCCTGCCTCCCACCGAGCAGGGCCGACTAGATCTGGAGCTGAAGATAGAAGACACCAAAGAGATGATGCGCAAAGCTGAGGTCTGTGACTCACACTGGAAACTTTAGCTGTTGTTTCGGCCTCTTCCTCTTTTGGAGGTTTTCATGCTCTCTGTGTGATCAGAGCTTTTTTTTCCCACTATCTCTCACTGTTACAAAACACAGCAAAGTTGGCTGTATTAAACACACTAAAATAGCTAACTCCAGTGCCTGGCATGAATACAGGCATTAGTGTGGACTGGTTTGTCAAACTTAAACTGGATTTGATCTTTATCTTGTCTGTACTTGACAGATCTGGTAAAAAAAAAATGTCCCAAGAGGTTTGTAGGGACACTGAAGAATCTGCAAGCACAAAGAAACCAGCTCTGTAATGTTTATTAAAACCAACAAGCTTTAAAAGTGATGCACACGTACTGAATGTTGCAAATCATTGCAAATTAGTTTTGGTGCTGCAGAAATAATGCAGAATACTGTGACTGCTGCCGAGTGTTTGAACATATGAACACGTGTGCAGCACGACAGCCGAGTGTGTTAAAATAAAATAGACCCCATCATCAAATGCATTTCACATCAGAAGAGATGAAACATCTTTTAAGTAATTCACACGATCGCCTCATCGAAGCCCAAACACCAAGAATGTGTCAATTTATGAACTATATTCTGCTCATTTAGAGGTTTAAACATGCAAAATAATTGGTTTGATTCAAAAAGGAAACTATAAATGTAGATAAAACGTTTGAAAATTCAGTCTAAACCGTCTTCTTCATCTCAGACTCCCTCTCCTCTTCTTCCTGCTCCCATCATCTTTTCTTTTTGTGGAAAATCTATTTTTTATGCATTACTCCTCACGGATGTGTCACAGTGCACGAGGACAGTCACCTCTCCTGCTCAGATTGATCTTTTCTCACTCCACATCTGTATTCTGTCTGCCCTCAGCCTCACTCAGCTGGTTTTCTTCCTGATGCTCCTCAACACTATCAGTCTTATAGTTGGCCCCCTCTGATGTCAGATTTGGTCCAATACATCATTATTTGGTATTTCTGGTTTGCAAATACTTCAAGTCAATGAACGATAATTTAGCAGCTATCAGTACCATGTCATCTCAATGTGTGACAACATTTGGGCGTTGTCCTCCTCCTACCCCACCCTCACTCAGACCGTCCATCAGCTGTTTGCTCTTGTAGACGGAACATTTTCTTGACTAAGTAAATGAATATTTCATGTGCTCATTTGATCCAGGCGAGCTCGCCACACAGCCTGCATGTCATAATCGCGATGGGAGTGAAAGCAGGACAAAAGACATTTCTTTCACTATCTGGACGGTTAATGTCTCTTTTTCCCTTTCCACAAAGTCACATCCTGATCCTCTCTAGGCTCTCCCAACATCAGTTTCAGCCCCTTGTTGAAGGTTGAAATGAGATTAGACACTAATTATTCAAATAGAGAATTATTAAACGGTAAACATCATCCTGTAGATTTCCGATTCATTTTTGTTTTTCTCTTGCCTGAAATCAGACAGAGTTGTTAATTCAGTATTTCTGAAAGCGTGGACGCAGGACCAGGGCTGTGACGAGCCAGCTTCAGTCAAGAAGACGGCAATATTCCAGTCATAAAACAATGGCACCTGTCCCGCTTGCTGTGTCACAGCATGTGCTGTGACACAGCCTCTGTTCTGAGATTGTCACAGTTCAAATAGTATCTGCGTGTGACGTCACGTGCACCACTGTATGGCAGCTCTGATGGGAGTTTCGCTTCGACTCGCTCTGTTTTTTGTTCTCGTTGTTTTTGTTTGAACTTTTTTGTGCCTACACTACACCCACGCTATGGGTATGACCGCAACGCACTTTTGCAGTTTTGTGTGTCTCTGCCTTGCCATCGTGGTTCAGTTCGTGGGCCCCGTCCAGCCTCGGGCTCAGGCTCCTGCCTGTCATGGCGGCCGTCTCCATCTGCCTGCACAGACCGAACTCTACGGAACAGTTCGGTTCCGTGGGGAAACCTTGGATGTTCTTTGTCTGACAAACCTGGTTCTGGTGGGCAGCCATTGTCCATTGCCACGGTTATTATCATCATACTGCTAATGGGACGGCGCTGCTAACAAGACCACGTCGCTAACAGAACCATGCTGCTAACAGAACCATGCTGCTAACAGAACCATCTTGCTAAGAGAACCTCACTGCTAACAAAACTACACAATTTTAATAGGACCATGCTGCTAACAGGACTACATAGCTAACAGTACCATGCTGCTAACAGGACCACGCTGCTAATAGTACCATGCTGCTAACGTGACCATGTTGCTAAGAGAACCTCACTGCTAACAAAACCACATGATTCTAATAGGACCGTTTTGCTAACAGGACCACACTACTAACAACACCATGCTGCTAGGACCATACTGCTAACAGTACCATGTTGCTAACAGTACCATGCTGCTAATGGGACCATGTTGCTAAGAGAACTACACAATTCTAATAGAACCAAGCTGCTAACAGAACACACTGCTAGCTGCACCATGCTGCAAATAAGACCATACTGCTAATAGGACCACACTGCTAACAGTACCACACTGTTAACAATACCATGCTGCTAATAGGACCACACTGCTAACAGTACCACACTGTTAACAGTACAATGCTGCTAACAGGACCACACTGCTAACAGTACCATACTGCTAACAGTACCATACTGCTAACAGTACCATGCTGCTAACAGTACCATGCTGCTAATAGTACCATACTGCTAACAGTACCACACTGTTAACGGTACCATGCTGCTAACAGGACCACACTGCTAACAGTACCATACTGCTAACAGTACCATACTGCTAACAGCACCATGCTGCTAATAGGACCACACTGCTAACAGTACCACACTGTTAA